GCCATTTCTGAGTGTCTGTGCTGTTCTAGTGACTGGTGGCGTAATCATGTAATAATTCCTTATGACTAGATTTTGTATATAATTTTGTATATTGAAGTGGACATGTTAAGTGCAATTTGAAAGAAGCAATATAAAATATGATAAAAATACATTTTTTTGTTTATTTGATTCCTATTCAAGACACTTAGGATAAGAAGAATAACTATAGTGTTACTATAGGCGGTTACAGATTTGTTTAACATTTTTGGTTGGTGGTGTGCCTCGAGATTTTTTCTATGAAAAAATGTACCTTGGCTCAAAAAAGGTTGAAAACACTGTGATAGAGGCTCCAGATAAGGGACGTCCTCATTTCCTGTATTTTGAGTCTCAGTTATTGGCTCTCTTTGAATTCTCCCTGATCAAAGCAGATTTCAGTTAGCAAGAGCCTCGATTTCCAGTTAGCTCCAGTTAGCTCTGAAAGGAACAGGCCAGGTCCTAATTCATGCAGGTTTGGGTGGAATGTGATAAGAAAGTGTGGATGGAGGAGGAGGAGGAGGCACAGCCAGAGAGTTTAACCCAAAAGTATCATTCCAAGGGGGATAATATAAATCTAAAAAGGAATAAGACAATCAGTCATTTGCATGGATTAGGTTATAGCATACTATGCTAAAGTGAGTAATTATAGCCCAATTCTAACAAGCTGTCAAACTTCAGATGAGCAGCTCATGCATGCTTTATAACAAGGAAAAGATTTGACGTTTTGGGAGATTAATCTAATTCCTTTCCCATCGAGGGTTATTAAGAAAAAAACCCTGATGCTTTCTTTTGTGTCTCTTGTTACCGGGTTTAAAGATCTAAGTTGGAATACTTAATCTAATTTGTTCAATTCATACAAAAAGGCTCCATAATATTACAGTTATTATTACATTTATTTGCTCACAGTGACCCGGAGTCTCCTCAAAAGACTGCAGGATGTAAAAAAAAACATTTTTTAACTTCATTTTTTGCTCAGATCTGTGGATTCTGCTTTACTTGGCTGGAGCAGGTGGAGCACTCTGTCTGATTAGCTCACAGAGGATTCATATTAAACATGTTGACAGAAAAACCCAAAAATAACAAATGCAATTATGTTCAAAATATAGATTTTTTTTCTTTAATTTGATTACTAACCAATCTCATAAAAAGACGCTTGACAATAAGTAAAATAAATGGCTCTTTTTGGAAAGACATAGCTAACTTTTAATGTTCCAAAGAGAAAGTAAGATTAAGATCGAAGTAAGCTTTTGTAAACTTTTCAAACTTAAAACGAAAAAAGTCCCCATTCTTGCCAAACCTGCTGTAAAAACACCCTAAGCGTATGATCAGTGGATTTAATTCTAGTGGATTATGGGAAGTTTAGGGAACACTCAACTTGAAATTAGTTTAATATACTTTTATTATGAAGCAGACAGATTATCATAAATACATACATCTCTGGGCTATGCACAGCTTTATTTTTTAAAATCTGGATCTGCATTTGTGCATCTTTACAAGTTTTCTGCTACTGTAGCTACAGCTGCGACCCCCCCCCCAAAAAAACAAAAAAAAACATCAATAATATCCTCATAAACTCGAAGTATTATTTAGGAAAAAAGCAACATTTTACTCACTTACTTTTCATGAAAAGTCCGTCTTGAAAATGGCCTTTACAGTAAATCGGCCACCAAATAATAAAATAGCTATATAGTTTGTTTGCTAGCTGTGCCGCTGATTGGATATCTGACTATCCAATCAGCGGGTGTGAATACGGTGACGTTGCCTAAGGCCTTCTAGAAGGCCCTGGTGTCCCCAACTTAAAATCTGATTGTTTGAAGCAACAGTGTACTTGACATGTATTTTCTGTGGGGGGGGGCCCTCAGAACGGATTGTGAAGGCCTCCAGGCAGACATCTTTGACTTTGACCCTGCCTAGCGACAAAGGATGTCTGAAATGTGATTGGTTAAATGCTTTTATATGAAAATGCATGTCTGGAAGCAGCGCAACCAGGGGAAAAGCTACGAAAGGAAACCGACAGACCATTTAGAGATATTTAATAAGTTTCCATGGACAAAATATAATTAACATCAGTCTGTGATTCAGATATTTTCTTAGGCCTGCAGAGACGGCCCACCACTGGTAGAACGTGGCGAGAGCCTAAAATGGAGACGTGCTCCTGTGTTTAGCCCTTTAAAGCCTGATCCAAGAATAAAACAAAACAGAAAATGACTTTTTTTTTTTGTTTGAAGTCTTTATGTGGCCTTTTAACAAAATATGTACAAAGAAAAAAAGGAAATACATTTTTGATATTAATAATTTATTACTATGCGATTAGTCCAGATTATGTTTTGTGTAGTCTTCTGCCCCCTGTTATCAGGTATATCTGATTGTGTACAATAGGATTTTGAGCAAAGTTTTTACCATTAAATAATGCAAAAGGAGTCAGACGCAAAACATTTCAGAAACCGTTTGTATCAGATATGATACATTTGGCATTACAGGGTTAAAGAAACGTTTCCAGGATTCTGTCTCCTCTTTTCTCTTCTCACCCCGAGTGATCCATCGTTCTCCGCTCTGCTGCGTTACCTCCATCCATCACCATTCACCCCCTCCCCTCCCTCTGAACCTCTTCCTCCGTCTCTCATGTGCAGAAAATGATGAAGGATAACAACCTCGTCCGGCACCTGGACGCGTGCGAGACCATGGGCAACGCCACGGCCATCTGCTCCGACAAAACCGGAACCCTGACCACCAACAGGATGACCGTGGTCCAGACGTACCTCTGTGAGTAGATAGATAGATAGATAGATAGATAGATAGATAGATAGATAGATAGATAGATAGATAGATAGATAGATAGATATGGTCAGGAATAGGAGCTCGAGGCAGGATTCATATGCAGAGATCTTGGCAAAAACTTTAATTGACACTAGTAAGCCCAACAATACGAGAATTTTTGTCAGTCCCCATACTGTGAAACAGTATTTCACAACTCATGAATCCCTTTTCAGATGTAATGTAAATGCCCCATTAGATAGATAGATAGATAGATAGATAGATAGATAGATAGATAGATAGATAGATAGATAGATAGATAGATAGATAGATAGATAGATAGACACGGGTAACTTCCTATTAAGCAGAAGTTTCCATCCCAAAGACTCTAATGCAAAAGAAAAGTCTCCACTTTGCTTAAAACATCCCACAAAACTAAGCAGTTGTTTGACCAGTTTGCTAGCTTGTAGCTAAGCTATTGTCCACGGAGCTAGCATTAGGCTAACAAGATTCGAAACCAAGATCCTATGTACCAGTGATAAATATCAAATATTTGGTTTGGTAATATGTTAAACAAAAAGGCAAGCTTTTAATACAGATATTTGACTTTTCCAAAATTTATATAAATTATAGGAATTAGGCCAGGAATGATTAAATGTAGCTTGTAGCTAATTTGCAATCATGATACAATGTCATTGCTGATGTGCGAAGTTTAGATAGATAGATAGATAGATAGATAGATAGATAGATAGATAGATAG